TACCTGGTGGAGTAGAGCAGAACTCCTTGTAAAGACCCTTCTGCCTTTCCAGGCCCTTTCTTCGAAGATTTCTACACTCTTCAGGGACTTCGTTGTCACCTATAACAAGACTTACGAGACAAGGCAAGGTGAGCATCCAGACTTGTCTGTACAAGTCCCAATCAGATAAGAACCTGTTCTCAATTTGGAGCCTTGGTGTTGGGGGAAGGAAAGGACATGAGAGGAGGTACATCTCAGAGGTCTTGTCCAGCCTTCCAGGACCGGGCAGCTATCCAAGGACTTGTCTTCTCCTATCTGGTCTTCCTTGTCAGAAGCTATGGGCAGGGCTGGGAAGGTGGCTCAGTGGTAGAGTGCTTGCCTTGCATGCATGAGGCCCTGGGTTCAATTCCTCAGCACCACATAAGCAGAAAAATAAAAAGCCGGAAGTGGCACTGTGGCTCAAGTGGTAGAGTGCTAGCCGTGAGCTGAGGGACAGCGCCCAGGCCCAGAGTTCAGGCCCCACGACCGGACCCCCCCCCCAAAAAAAAAAAGAAGCTATGGCAGAGGAGAGTAAGGCAGAAATCAGATAGTTTTCATGATCTCTACTGAGTGATGCCCTTTTTGTTTTCTTGTGGTGCTAGGGATTGAACCCAGGGCCTTGTGTATGCTAGGCAAGTGCTCTATTACTGAGCTACATTCTCTAGGCCCCAGATGATGCCCTTTAGACCCCATTTTACATCTGGGGAGTCATCATTATCGGTTTTGATTGCTACTTCATCACTTGTACATCTGTTCTCCTTCCCTAGTCCTATTTCTGCCCCAGGGTTCTGTCCTTAAAAAAAGAGCCAAGCCAGGCACTGGTGGCTCTCAGGAGGCTGAGATCTGAGGATCACAGTTCAAAGCCAGCTTGGGCAGGAAAGTCCATGAGACATTTTATTCCCAATTAACCACCAGAAAACTGGAAGTGGGGCTGTGGCTCAAGTGGTAGAGCGCTCACCTTGAGCTGAAGAGTTCAAGGGCAGCACCCAAGCCCAAGGATCAAGCTCCATATCTGACCCCCCCCCAAAAAAAAACATTCAGAATACATTTACTCCCAGGGAAACCCTTGCCATTAGTGTTTATCACCCCTCCTCTAATCTGCCTGGAGTCCCAGCATCTCTCCTCCTGTTCCTTGGTCCTCAGAACTCGAGCTGCGCATGTCCATCTTTTCCCAAAACATGATACAAGCACAGAAGATCCAGGCTCTGGACCGTGGCACAGCTGAGTATGGGATCACCAAGTTTAGTGACCTCACAGGTAGGGGTGGTCACCAGAGCTTGGGAGAGACAGGATCTTCTCCCAAGCCCCTCATGAGAGCTAAACATACATGTTCCTCTGTGCTCTGCCCACCTTTGCCCACAGAAGAGGAGTTCCATACCATCTATCTGAATCCACTCCTGCACGAGATGTCTGGCAAGAAGATGAACCCAGCCAAGCCGGTGGATGAAGCTGCACCACCTGAATTTGACTGGAGGAGCAAGGGTGCTGTCACTGAAGTCAAGAACCAGGTTGGAGCCCTAGAAGGGAGAGTGGGACATGGGCTGTGCATGGGGCTGCCAGGAAGGGGTCCAGCCCTGACCTCGCCTGTCTTTTGCAGGGCATGTGCGGCTCCTGCTGGGCCTTCTCTGTCACAGGCAATGTGGAGGGCCAGTGGTTCCTGAAGCAGGACACCCTGCTGTCCCTCTCAGAGCAGGGTGAGCATTCTGCTCCACCCTTCCGTCCCCAGCCTAGCAGCCCCTCTGGAGGGCTCCTTGGGACCAGCCTTCTGTCTCTTAGAGCTCGTGGACTGTGACAAGATGGACAAGGCCTGCCTAGGAGGCTTGCCCTCCAATGCCTACACAGCCATAAAGGATTTGGGTATGTATCAATGGAGTCAGGAGGAATAGCAGGTACCACCCCTCCTTGTACAAGGGGGAGAGACATGAGCTGGGGGTGGGGGGTGGGAGGAGTTGTCACACAGAACTGGGATCCAGTCTTAAAGCTGATCCTTATTGGCTAAAGACCTTAGACAAATAAGATCTGTCAGCCTCTGTTGGCTCATAAGTCACATGAACTTGAATTATGAAATGGGGCATCCCATGACCACATTATAAGATTGCCTTGAATTTCCAGAGAGAAAAATAGATGTAAAGTCCTGGTACATAAAAGGGACTTAGTGGGGGGAAGGGGGGTTATGGAGATCTGTGTTCTTACTGCTTTGAGGTCTGTGGGTTTTTTGTTTTTTTTTTTTTTGTTTGTACCAGTCCTGGGGCTTGAAATTGGCCTGGATGCTGTCCCTTAATCTTTTTTTTTTTTTGGTCGGCTGTGGGGCCTCAACTCTGGGCCTGGCACTGTCCCTCAGCTCTTCAGCTCAAGGCTAGTGCTCTGCCACTTGAGCCACAGCGCCACTTCCAGCTTTTTCTGTTTATGTGGTGCTGAGGAATCAAACCCAGGGTCTCATGCATTCAGGGCAAGCGCTCTACCACTGAGCCACCTTCCCAGCCCCCTAAACGTCTTTTGCTCAAGACTAGTGCTCTAGTTCTTAAGTGGCCTTTTTTTGGTAGTTTAGTGAAGGTAAGTGTTTCAAGAACTTTCCTGCTTGGGCTGATTTCTAACCTGGATCCTCGGATCTCAGCCTCCTGGGTAGCTAGGATTGCAGGCGTGAGTCAGTGGTGCCAAACCAAGCAGCCATCCACCTAATCCTTAATTAAGCTGTGTTGGCAGCTCAGTTTGGTGGTGGGCTGTAGTGGCAGGATAAAGGGCCCGAGGGACAAATGTGGATGGACAGAGACTGGTCTGGAGGTGTGGCAGGAGTCTGAGCTACATTAGGGGTGGATTGCTGAAGCAGGACAAGCAGGGCACGGTCAAGAGGCCCAGACAGGCTGTCGTGAGGCAGAACTGAGAGTGTAGTCCCATGTCTGCTGATTACTGTTGCCCACTTCCTCCAATCCTAGCGGTGTCATCCCTTGGACTGAGGAGATGGCTCAAGGTGGAGGGTCTATAGTCTGCGGGGTGGGGGATGGGTGATGAGGGACACAAGGCCTGTGTGCAAAGGCTCAGCACACATCTAGCTAGGAGAAGGGGACTAGTGATCAGCAGGGATCCACTTCTTTTTTTTTTTTGTTTTTTGTTGGTCGGAGGCTTGAACTCTGGGCCTGGGCTCTGTCCCTGCCTGAGCTCTTCAGCTTAAGGTGAGTGCTCTACCAGTTGAGCCACAGCACCACTTCCGGTTTTCTGGTGGTTAATTGGAGATGATCATCTCAAGGACTTTCCTGCCCAGCTGGCTTTGAACTGCAATCCTCAGATCTCAGACTCTTGAATAGCTAGGATTATAGGTGTGAGCCACCGGTGCCCAGTGGGTCCACTCTGTTACTGCCACTGTCCCCCCAGGAGGGCTGGAGACCGAGGATGACTATAAGTATCAAGGTCACCGGCAGGTCTGCAACTTCACTGCACAGAAAGCCAAGGTCTACATCAATGACTCTGTGGAGCTCAGTCAGGATGAACAGAGTAAGTGGCAGGGGGGAAGGGGCGGGCCGAGGGGTCTGGGCCCATGTGCCGCTGACACTTCCTCCCCTGTCAGAGCTGGCAGCCTGGCTGGCTAAGAAGGGCCCGATCTCTGTCGCCATCAATGCTTTTGGCATGCAGGTGAGACCCTGACCCCAACACTCCTGCTCCAGCTCCTGCCCACCCCTTCCCTGCTTCTCCTCAGAGCTGGCTCTACTCCTTATTCTCCTCCTTCCCTCCCCCACCCAGTTCTACCGCCACGGGATCGCCCACCCACTCCGGCCCCTCTGCAGCCCTTGGTTCATTGATCATGCTGTGCTGATTGTGGGCTATGGCAACCGTGAGTTCCACTGATTGTTTGTCCATCCCCCATGGACTGCAGGCAGGAGTTGGATAGCAGAGTGTCCCTCAGGCCCTCTGAGAGGAAACTCTGGGAAATGACTAGAAACCTTGTCGTTAGCCTAGCATCCCCTCTGTGGATGGGAAAGCTAGTGTTGGGGGAAGTTGAACAGTAATGCTGTTCCCTAGAGGTGTGCCGGGCCCCTATGAGGGTGGCAGGTAGGCCTTCCTGTTTTCTGGTCTTTTCCTAGTATGTGCCACCCAGTAGGGCCCACTGCAGGTATTGGAAGGGAGCAAAGTACTTGAGGCTCTGCCTAGAGAACTGGAGGTTCCTGACCCCTTGTGCTCCACACTGCTCTCCAGGCTCTGAGATTCCCTTCTGGGCCATCAAGAACAGCTGGGGGGCTGACTGGGGTGAGAAGGTGAGTCTTGGCCTACTTGGCCCCTGGCCCTTCAGCCCTGATCCTGCCTGAGCCCTCTAACTGGCCCCTTCTCCTCTCAGGGTTACTACTACTTGCATCGTGGGTCCGGGGCCTGTGGTGTGAACACCATGGCTAGCTCAGCAGTGGTGATCTGAGGAAGCTATTGGTGCAGGACCTGCTGAGCAGAGAGCCCTTTTCCTGGCCCCTATGTCCAGGCCCCTCCCCAGGAGGCACAGCTGGCTGAGAAACAGGCACTGGGTACTTCAAGAGGGTGAGCAGACTGCACTGGGCCCCATATTTCCTCCACCCTACTCCTACCCTGCGATTCTCCGGCTGAACCATTGGTGAATTGTGGTTGTTCAGGGGTTCCTGGGGTCATGGGTGCTTTTTGTGGCAGCCAGAGTCCGGTCGGGAACCCTGGGCATAGGATAAGGAGCACAGAATGAAAAGTATTCCAGACTTCAGCCCAGTTCCATCCTCAGCAGGCTCTGGCTTCCTGCCTTGGCTTTCCTCTGTCTGATGCAATGTTATTTTCTGGTCCCCCTGGATTTGGGGACAGAATCCTACATCTAGGGAACTTGTAATCACCCTTTACTAACAGCAATAAAGAGATGTCCTGGTTCCCAGTGTGGTGTAAATGTGGGGGAGCAAGGAGGGGCAGGCCCAGTAGGGTAGCTGGTCCTTCCCAGGAGCCCTGGGGGACTAGTTTCTGCTTCAGGAACCAAAAACAGGAGATGGGGAGAGGCCCATGGATGGATCTTTATTCAGAAACACATGGCTGGCCAATCTCTGAGGCCCTTGCTCCAGGAACTGAATGGACTCAGCCTCAACGAACACTCGCTCTCCTTTTTCCACCAAGAACGATGGGTCAAAATCAGAGGTCACTCTCCCCATAGAGGGCACTGGAGAAGGCCACGTAGTCCAGGGCTCCAGCGGGAGCCCCAGAGCCCTTGTAGGGTGCCATCCTGCGGATGCAGTACTCAGCCTGCTCAGCTGGCAGCTCCCGCCGCAGCTCTTCGGGGGTGATGTAGTTCTGAAAAAGAGGAGGCATTGAGGGCTGACATCCTGAGTCCTGCCTCCACCCACCAGGCCACTCCTCTGCCCAAGTCTCACCTTGTCTCCTGCCAGGATCTTGAAGGAAGCTACAACTTGCTCGGCTGTGTCCGTCTCTGCTGTCTCTCGGGTCATAAAGTCAATAAAGGCCTGGAAGGTCACAACCCCTGCTGCGTTGGGGTCCACCATGGTCATGATGCGAGCAAACTCCACTTCTCCCTGCAAAGATAGAGGGCAGACACTCTGCCAACGATTGCCAAAGCCAGGAGGCGCTCAGCATTCCCTCCTGTGAATAGTTCCGGCCTTGCCCTGCCTATTACTTGCAAGGTGCTTCCTCACAAGAACTTAGGTAACCTAAGCTTTCAGGAATCTTTCTTGCTAGGCTGAAAGCTGCCTCCTGCCTGTGGCAATAGTCCTGACGCTCATTGATCCTGATGTCTACACCCCTCCATAGTGCTGCTTCCATGCTGTTTCCTAGAGATAAAAGGGTGCACACAGATGTAGAACCAAGTTCCTTTACCTCTCTGAGTCTGCTGGTCCTCTTGGGTATAGAGGGTAGAGATGAGGGATGTGGGATGTGTAGGGGGAGGTAATCAGTGTGAGAGGGGGGAGGGTGCTGGGGACACTCGGGGTGGGGGCCACTCACCAGGTCGTAGCCCATGGAGATCAGGCAAGCTCGGAAGTCATCAGGTTCCATCATCCCATTCCGCTTCTATAAGGGATAGATGGATGGATGGATGTCAGGCTTGGTCCCCAGTCCCACCAGCCCCCAAGTCTTTTACCTCACAGGGCTGGGCCCTCACTCACCCTGTCAAAGTGGTTGAAAGATGCCCGGAACTCGTTGAGCTGCTCCTGGCTCAGACCCTTGGCATCTCGGGTCAGTACCTGGTTCTCCACCTCATTGATGGTGCGGGCGATGGAGGTGAGCAGCTGCTCCCAGCCCACTCGGATGTGCTAGAGAGCAGAAGATGGGCTGGTCAGTGGGAGGCCAGTGCCTGACTCATTCTAGTTCTGCTCCCAACTAGCCAGGACCCTGGGCAAGTCCTCACCTTCACTGGTCTTCTGTTCTTATCTGGGTATTCTACTAGGTGACCAACTATAGCCTTAAAGTTTGATGATTTATCATATAAGGGGTGAGTGTGTGCGGGTATGTGCACACCCTGGAAGGGGCTTGAATTCAGGGATTTGTGCTCTTAGCGTGGCTCTTTTGCTCAAGGCTGGCTCTCTGTCATGTGAGCCACACCTCCTCTTCTGGCTTTTTTGCTGGTTAATTGGAAAGAAGAGTCTTGGATTTGTCTTTCCAGACTGACTTTGGACTGTGATCCTCTAGCTTCCTGAGCAGCCAGGATTACAGGCATGAGCTGTGTCTCTTTTATTGACCAGTCATCCATGGCCAATCCTAGCCTAGCTTCAGGCTGCTTTGTGATACTTTCCTTCATTGGGGCTCTATCCCCATGGATAACATTGGGAAGCCTTGCCAAGCTGGACTTGGGGACTCTTCTAGACAGACAGGCTCTGTGATCCACCCCCCTCTACTTCCCCAGCCCATGCTGCCTTTTCTCCAGAGGATGGGACCCCCACCTCCATGCTGTAGACTGTGTGCTTGTTGTCAAAGACCAGGCTCTCCTGAAGCAGCTGGTGGTCACCCTCCAGCCGGTCGATGTTGCTCTTGTAGTTGATGATGTTCTGTTCCTGCTGCCTCAGCCCTGCCATCTGCTCCTCCAGAGAGCCAGCCAGCCCGGCTGCCAGTCGCCCCACCTCCTACAGGGGTTACCAGATCAGATCAAGGCCTACCAAATCACTCTGATCCAGCTCTGGGTGTACTCTCTCTGGAGTCCTTACCTCCACCTTCGCCTGGATCCAGGGACCTACAGCATTGGCCTGGGCAGCAAACTGTCTCCTGAGCCTCTCGTTCACCTGCTGCCGTGCCAGCTCCTCTTGTAGGGTCTGATCACGGCTGGGTACAAGCTTTCGGACCTGGGAAAGAGAGTGGTATGCTAGAGCCAAGAGATGGCTCTGAACAGGTTCAGTTCTTGTGGCTTTAAGCTGAAATGGGGCTATATGGACAAGCTGTGGGGCAAATCAATCAACCTTTGCAGGCCCCAGGTTTCATGTCTGTAATTGAGCCCAGCTACATCATTTATAACTAATACACGTGGAGTGTGGAAGATGTCCATGTGGTATCTCATTCTGCACTTGAATCCTGATAGGAGAATGCAGCTGTGATAGCCATTACTTAGATGAGGCCACAACAGGCAAGATGGTGCCTCAGTGCCACCTGGAGGCTGAAAAGCCAAGATCTAGAGGTAGACTTTATTTCCACTCTCATAGGACATCACAGGGCTCAGCGCAGTTGAAGTGTGTCCGAGTGAGTGGAAGCTGCCAGTGACACTGACCGTATCCCATTTGTTGTTGATGTCCTGTGAGGTGAGGGTGATGTAGGGGTTGGTGGACTTTAGTGCCAGCCCATATGTTTGACAGATCTTCTGGATCTCGGTCTGGATGCCCAGGATGGCACCTCGTTCTCGGTCAGCCTCAGGTAACGTTGCCTTGAACTGCTCATGGGCTGTCAGTAGGCTCTGGGAGTGAAGGCAGGAGAGACAGGTCATTCAGCAGATCTGGCAGCACTAGTCCAAGAACCCAGGCTTCCTGCCCATTCCCCAGGATGCCAAAGGAGTAGCCGACATGTAGGGGCAGCTTCTCTGCCGTCCACTCAGCAATCCCCAGAATGCCTGCACACACCTGAGTCTCCTCTACTGAGTGCACCAGCCACACGTCCTGCAGGTCCTCCACTGCCCCATCCAGCCAGTTGTTGAAGGGTGCAGCTCGTCTGGCAAACTCAAGCTGCAGCTGGTCGATGGTTTCCAGGAGCTTCTCCATGCGCTAGAGAGGGAGGGGGATAGCGGGTTAGCTTCCCTCCTCCCCCCAGCCTGGCGGCCGCCCCCCCCCTCCCTGCCCCGCCCCTACCTCCAGCGCATCCCGCCTCTTCTGGGTTAGCGTGCCCAAGTTGTCCCACTGGTCACAGATGGCCTGGCAGCGGCTGTTCACCGAGGCCGCATCATGGTAATCCAGCTCACTGAGGGAGAGGGAGGGTGAGTGTAGGGCCAGTCCTTAGCCTAGATTCCCCCTGCCTGCCTGCCTAGGGCTGGAACCCGCGTCCCCGGGGATGGCCAAGGCAACCAGGACAGGTGAGGAATAGGAATGGGGCGCATGCCTGCTGGAAGGTGGGGGCCCGCGATCCTCAAACTCCAATCGAGTGGCAGACCGTGGGGATTGGGGAGTGGGGTTATGTGAGAGGGGGTGGTGCAGTAGGAAATTACAGGTACCACGGGCACCGCTGCGTTAAAGAAACTAAGAGCCCATCAAAGCTCAACCCGAGGGGGCGTGGTCAGACAGATGACGCAATGGCAGTCGCGCTGCCACACCCACTTGAGCTCTTGGGGCCCCGCCCACTTGAGCTCCTGGGGCCCCGCCTACTTGAGCTCCTGGGCCAGCGCGGCGATGTGCTCCACGCGGTCCTGGTGTGCAGCCAGGTCACTCTCAAAGGCCTCGTGGCGCCGCAGCAAGGCCCGCACCTCCTGTAGCGAAGCCGAATCGTAGTCGCGCTGGTTCAGCATCTCCTCCTTCCCTGATCCGAGAGAGGGTCTGCTCTGATCACCTGGCGGCAGCCTGGGCCTGAGCAGGGGCTTCGGGCAGGGCTGCAAGGGTAGGCCGTGGCACCGGCCCACCCTACACCTGGGATTTGCTCTGCATGTCAGCGGGATAAAGAGCAACTCCTGATCTTCAGCATGGCCTGCAAATACCGCCAGCATCCCCTGACAGTCCTGCTTGGTCATTACTACAATTTGAAGTTCTTTGGTAGCCACTTCTCAATGTCTCTGTGAGCACCAAAAGCCCTCTGACTTGACAAAAGCCCTTTGTTCACTACTGTTTACCAGCACCTGGCAAAGTGCTTGACTTGGTAATATTCATTGGGTGAATGAATGATAAATTTAAGAGTGCTTGGAAGTGATCATTACCCTATATTTATGAATAAAGCCCAACCAATAGCAGTAGGGACCCTTGTCTGAGGAAGTTTAGGGGTGCAAAGGCTACACAAGGGTCACAGACACTAGCTGTAAATTTAAAAAAAAATTCTTGTTGTTTTGAGGCATGTTCTCATTTGTAGCCCAGGTTAACTTCAACTTCCTAAGTGCTGGGATTTCAGGCACAGGCTACCATGCCTGGCCCACATTTAAGGAACTGTAATGCCAAATTACTGTTATTTGTTATGTTCATGCTCCATTATTAATACTTGCTCATTGAATTTAGGCAAGATTCATTCTTTTTTGTTGTTGTTGGGTTTTGAAGTCAGGGCCTTTCGTGCTCTAGGTTAGCACTCTACCACTTGAGCCATACCACCACTTCTGGTTTATCTGGTGCTTATTGGAGATAGTCTCATGGACTTTCCTGCCTGGGCTGGCATTGAATTGTGATCCTCAGATCTCAGCCTCCTGAATAGCTAGGATTACAGGTGTGAACAATCATCACTTTACTGATTCATTCTCTTTTTTTTTTTTTTTTTGGTTTTAAAGCTCTGACAATACAGATTGAATGATGTTTAGCAGAGTGATATTTTTTGTGAGGTTTTTCATTAATATACTCTGAGTATGATATAAAGAATATTAGGATTAAGATTCACCTTTGGTCACTTGCTACATTTGCAAATACAATACTAAATGACAAGTTAATGGATAAAGAAATTGTAGCTCATAGAGAGAAGAATGCAGCATGTGATAAAGGGTGTGTATGTGTGTGAAACTGATCGGAATAGAGTGTTAATATGTCCAGAGATATAACAGCAGAAATGCTCCCCTTCCCCAGGATAATTGATGTAAGCCAATAAAAAAGAAAAACCCTGTAGCTCAAAGACAGACTGATTTGTATACTTCAGCCAGTCAGGGTGGGACTAGAAATCTGTTCTCCACCTTCTCTGCAGAACACCTACTTTTGTCTTGTGCATCATTTACCCAGGATTCTTCCCCAGGGGAGTCCAACTTCATGGGAGCACTTACCCCGGGTCCAGGTTTCATGCAAGGAGGCCTTCTGCTGGAATTTCTCTGCCAGATGCTGGAGCCGCTGCAGACGCCGAATCTCTGACAGCAGCCAGTCCTCGTAGCCCTTTTCCACCTGCTCCAGCCCCCGCCATGCATTGGCGATGTCCTGTGGGGATAGGTGGAAGTGCCTTCCATCACGATGTACCCATTTTACGGATGGGGATACAGAGCTCAAGGTCACCAGGTCCTGCGGACAGAGTGGGGTCACCTCCCCTCCATGCCCATCCTGGCTCACCGAAACCAGCTTGCCCTCAGATGGCATGAAGGCGGGCCGGTGGCTCAGCCGAAGCTTGGTCTGCAGTGTGTTGAAATTGATCTCCAGCTGGCACTTCTCCTGAACTCGGGGTGGCTTGTGCAGGCGCCGGTAGTCCCGGAAGTCCTCCAGTTTGCGTTGCATGGCAGTCATGCTGGGCTCGCCCACCCGGTTCTCCAGCCATGGGACAGTGCGGCGGATCCATTCCAGCAGCTGCCGGGGCCCAGCAGGGGCACAGCAGAGAGCTCTGAGCCAAGCTGCCCACCTCATCCATCCTTTGCCACCCACACCCAGACCGTGGCCAGAGGGAAGGGCCTCAAGTACATGCGGGTGACTTTCATAGCCATGAGGTAGTCTGTTCTCACTGATCAAGAATAGGATGGTTGGCTGGGAAGGTGGTTTAGTGGTAGAGTGCTTGCCTAGCATGCATGAAGCTCTGAGTTCCATTCCTCAGTACCACATAAACAGAAAAAGCTGAAAGTGGCACTGTGGCTCAACTGGTAGAGTGCTAGCCTTGAGCAAAAGCAGCTCAGAGACAGTGCCCAGGCCCTGAGTTCAACCCCCAGGACTGGCAAAAAAAAAAAAAAAGAATAGGATGGTTAATTTTTTTTTGTCCTTTTTTCTTTTTGTGATGCTGGGGTTCAAATCTAGGGTTTCACATATGCCTAAGCAAGCGTCTATCACTGAATTCCAATTGCAGTTTATCTAATTCCTGTCTCTAGGGGCCTGTATAGGTAGGCATAGACCAGAGAGTCATATAGTTGCCTAAATACAAGGGAGTGGATCAACCAGTGAGCAGATGAATGAATGATAATGGAATCAATGAATGACTAGAAGCCTGGAAAAGCTGAAGGGGGCAGATGATGGTGGAGGAGCAGGAGAAGATAGGGGGGAGTCCAGGGCCTCTAAGAACAGGAATGCTCTGTGGGTCCATGCAGGGGGCAAGGGAGATTGGCCCTAGCCTTACCTCACTGGCTAGTTTCTCATACTCCTCCATCAGCTTCTCATTTTCCTGGTTCACAGCCAACACCTTGCAGATCCTGTTGGCAGCTGTCTCCGCCTGTGGTTGCAATGGGTTGGAGGGGTGGCATGAAGGCCAGTTGCCTCAGACACCTTGACCCAGACCCCTGGAAAGCTCTTAAAAAGGCAGCTCACACCTGTAGTTTTAACTCAGAGGCTGAGATTGGGACAATTGTAGTTCAAGGCCAACTTGGGCCAAAAGTTCACAAGGCTCCATCTCAACCAAAAAGCTGGGCATGATGAATTATTTCATGGGTTGGATCTAGGCCAGCTTGGGCATAAATATAAGACCCCCTTTAAAAAAATTAATAAAAGCAAAGGGGCCTAGGGCGTGGCTCAAGCAGTAGAACACCTGCCTGAATGTAAACCCTAGTACCACCAAAATAACAACTAATCCAAAAAACAAAGCCAGGCACTGCGGCTCAATTCTCTTGAGTCTGTAATCCTAGCTACCTGGAAGACAGAGAGCAGGGGATTGTGATTCAAGGTCGGCTCAGATAAAAAGAAGGTCATGGAACTCCAACTAATGAATTGGTTTGGTAGCTCACACCTGTCATCCCAGCTACGTGGAAAGCACAATGGCTGAGTCCGCTGGGCTCATTCCCAGCGTGGGAAGCATAAGTAGGAGAATCACAGGCAAAAATCAAGACCCTATAATAAGCAATGCAAAGAGGAGCTGGAGGCTTGGCTGAAGTAGTAGAGCATCTGCCTCGCAAGTACAGGGCACGCACTGAGTTCAACATCCAGTACAGGAGAAAAAAAAAATCCTTAGCGCACGCAAAAAGGGGTCAAATAGGGTCACTCCTCTAAGTTGGAGAAGGGTCTTCTTGAGGTGTTCAAAAGAGAAAGTAACAGTGGAACTCCCCACCTAAATGTCCCATCTAACATCTACAAATGTGGGTCCCTGGGCGCTGCCCAGGCAGCAGTGCTCACAGGAGGGCAGCAGCGAGGCCCTACTTACCTGCTCAGCCCCGGCAAATGCATGGTAGAAGCAGGAAACGTAGGTCATGATGGCTTTCTCATCTGGCTTTGGAGTGTTCACAATGTCTGGGAGGGGATTGCAAGATGCATGTTGACCAAAACCAGGGTGGAGGCTGGGATCAAGGCCCTTCCAACACTCTCAGGGTAGCAGGGATGGAGACATCTTGTCTCCCAGCTACCCCAAACCCAGCATCTGCCTATTCCCCAAAGCCCTAGGTCCCAGAAGAGGCCAGTCATACTTCCTATTACCCCTAATCATCCTGTAACTTCCTCTGTCTGTCTATCTGTCTGTCTATGTGTCTATGAACAACTCAGGGGCCAGAACTAGTTCTCCTCCTCCATACCCACACCACAAAAGCACTCTGCAGCAGAAATGCAGGAAATGTTTGCTGCTTCATTGACTAAATGCTTTGCTTGGGCACAGGGACCAGAGGCAGCACAGGCCCCAACCAGGTTCAGGGGTGTGTGATGGACTAGTTTGGGGGACTAACAACAAGTAATCCAGGAGACTGGCTATGAGGCAGAAGGTGGTGCTATTCTATACTGGTGTTATTCTATAGTGGATCAGAAGAGGGATGGTTGGGGTCGCAGAGCATCATGGGAGAGGAGGCAGGGCAATGGCGTGGTGGTCAGACCATCCCACCAGTAGACGAGTGCTAGCTGCGCCCAGGCAAGGCTCACTCTCACCTTCTGCATCCAACATCTTCGGGATGTCCAGGTATTTCTCCGCCACTTCAAAGGCAGTGTTTAGGTTGCCAATGGGGTCATCCTAGAGCAGTATAAGAAAGAACAGGTCAGCTGAGGTCAGAGGTCAAGGGATTAGGAATGGGGCAGGAAGCAAAGGCCCACCTTGCGTAGCTTGGCGTAGTCGATGAGGTCAGGTCGGTGTCGGTGGATGAGGGCACAGAGGGCCAGACCATCCTTCCAGCTGGACAGAGAAGAGGGTGATCAGGCCTGGGGTCAGGCTCCCTTTGCACCCCAATAAGGTTTATTGAGTTCTCCTTTTTTGTTGTTTTGTTTGTTTTATATTCTCTCTTTCTCTCTCTCTCTCTCTTGTTGGTCATGGGGCTTGAACTTGTAGCCTGGGCGCTGTCCCTGAGCTCTCCAGCTCAAGGCGAGTGCTCTACCATGTGAACTACAGTGCCACTTCTGGTTTTCTGGTAGTTAATTGAAGACAAGAATCTTATGGAAGTTCCTGCCTGGGCTGGCTTTGAACCGTGATCCTCAGATCTCAGCCTCCTGAGTAGCTAGGATGACAGGTGTAAGCCACCGGCAGCCCAGCTACATTCTCTTAGTTTTGGATGCTCTTCACAAACTTGTGATCCTGAATTCTCCTTGGACTTGGGAGGAGGGCCAGCTCTGTACCCTCACTGGACTCCCCACCACCACCCAGCACCGACCTGGTGTGAAAGTTCTGCACGTTAACATTGCGGTATGGCGCCGTCTTCCGCTGGCACCACAGGAGCAAGCCTTCTTTGGCAGAGGTTTCTGGGTGGTGAAGTCGGGGTACATTAGTTGGGAAAGTACCTGGGTCTTTCCCTCCCCTCCCCATTTCCTCTTCACGACTCACCCTCCACAGAGATATCCTGGATGGCGAAGCGGAGGATGATGGTCCAGATCATGCCCAGGGTCATCTTCAAGTTCCCATCAACAATCTCTGCAGGGTGAGGGGTGGGAGACAGACTATGGCTGGCACTGAAGGCCTCAGCTCACACTTCTCCTACTCTGCCCTCTGCTTCTTGTTCCCTAGGCCAGAGCTGGCACCTAGTAGGTATGCAACCCTTGAGGCTCAATAACCATCCATTATTATTCAAAATTTTTATTGTTATTGATGTACAGAGACCAGACAGTTACATAAGTCAGGTAATGATTGGGGGGGAAGGGGGAGGCTGGGAAGGGATGTGAAGGGTAAACAAAAGGAGGAGGCTGCAATGCTTGGTAAGAAATGTACGCATTATCCTGCCAATGTAATTGTAACCCCTCTGTACAGTATGTTCACAAATAAAAAAAAAAAGTCAGGTAATGAGTACATTTCTTTTTGGACAACGTCACACCTTCCCTCGCTCTCTCCCAGTTTTTCCATCCTACCTCTACCCACAAGTTGTAGAGTTCATTTTCTTTTTCTTTTTTTTCTTTGCCAGTCCTGGGGCTTAAACTCAGGGCCTGGGCACTGTCCCTAAGCTTCTTTTGCTCAAGGCTAGCACTCTACCACTTGAGCCACATTCCCAACCCCTATAGTTCATTTTCAATATAAGGTCCAGCGAGAGCTGGGTGCCAGTGGCTCATGCCTGTAATCCTAGCTAATCAGGAGGCTGCGATTTAAGGATCACATTTCGAAGCCAGTAAGGGCAGAAAAGTCTGTGAGGCTCTTATTTCCAATTAACTAGCAAACAGCCGGAAGTAGAGCTATGGCTCAAGTGGCAGAGAGCTAGCCTTGAGCAAAAAAACTCAGGGATAACACCCAGGTTCTGAGTTGAAGTCCCAGGACCGACACAAACACACACAAAAAGAGTCCGTCAATAACTACTAAGGACTGGCTCTTTACAGTCTTTCCTGCAAGGCAGGAGTGATTAACCCCATTGTAGAGATGAGAAAACCGAGGCTCATAGAGGAGACAAAGAAGAGAGTCCCTTACTCACCTTCCTGCCCCAGTGCCTTCCTTCCCCCTCCTCACCTTCAGCACCGATGGACACCAATTTAACCCCTTTGCTGGCAATGAAGTCCAAGGCCTTGTTGACATTGGCGATTTTGTGGAAGCGCATTTTGCCTTTGTCTGGTCTGGGTAGCCGCTCTCCTGAGCATATGAAGAAAGAGGTCAAGTGTCAAAGGTCATAAGGCAGCTGAAGACATTGTCCCCCATCTCTGCCCTTCCCCCATCCCAAGTTTCTTCCAGCCCTCCATGGCCACCATTTCCCTGGCTCCCCGGGTTTCCCTTGGGCACAGATGTGCACCCCCACCTGAAATGACCTCCAGCAGCAGCATGAGCTTGAGGCCATTGCGGAAGTCCTCCTCGATGTTCTCGATCTGCGTGCCTGCTTTGCGCAGGTGTGAGTTGCACCAGGCAGTGAAGGTCTAGGAGCAGAGGACAGTGCTCAGACCCTAGGACTGGAGGACTGGAGGTGGGATTGTGGGGCATCATCCTGGCTCCTCAATCAAGGTAGATCTTAGAACCCAAGACCCTGGCTGCAAGTCTCCTGGCTGAGCTACTGACTGGCCGTGCATCCTGAGCCAGGCTCTTGCCATCTCTGAGCTTTAGCTCTCCTGAGAGAAGAGAAATGGAATGTAGGATCCATATAAGCTGTAGCCTTGTGTGGTCTTAAGCAACAGAGGGGAAATTAGAAAACCAATATAGTCCCTGAGGTGCCAGGGCCAGCCCAGAGATATGGTTTCTCTAAACTCTGTGGAATTCTAGAATGAAAGGACATCTGGCCTAAGGTTGAGGATCAGCTGCCAAGAAGACTGTGTGTGGTACAGGCTGTGGAGGGTCCGCCAGCACTGACCAGCACAGACTTGATCAGGCCCAACTTGATCACGTTCCCAGAGCTGATAGCGGCCTTTTCCTCAGCCTCAGCTTCCATCCTAGATGGGAAAGGTGTTATGTGGCTGTGACTTTAGGGCATGGGGGTGTCCTGAGACTGTGCCCAATGCTGCCAACTTACTGAGCCCTCAGACCCTGAATGCTGCAACTAGCTATAGAGCCCTTGGTGAGACACCAAGCCCAATCCAGCGATTCCTGCCTGTGGTCTGGGCCAAGCTCTTGCCCTGTCTGGAGACTGGTCCTTCTGCATTGTACAGTTAAAGGGTCAGACATCAGAGCCAGACACTGGAGGCTCATATCCGTGATCCTAGCTATTTGGGAGGCTGAGATCTGAGGATCACAGATCAAAGCCAACCCAGGCAAGAAAGTCTGAGACTTTTTTTTTTGTTGGTTGTGGAGGCTGAACTCTGGGCCTGGGCGCTGTCCCTCAGCTCTTCAGCTCCAGGCTAGCGCCCTGCCACTTGAACCAAGCGCCACTTCTGTTTTTTTTCTGCTTATGTGGTGCGGAGGAATCGAACCCAGGGCCTCATGCATGCGAGGCAAGCACTCTACCACTGAGCCACCTTCCCACTTATCTCCACTTAAACCAGCAAAATGCCAGAAATGGAGCCGTGACTCAAGTGTTAGAGCACCAGCCTCAAACTGGGATCCTCCCAGCTTCTACTCCAAATGGGATTCGTAATGTGGTTCTTGCCTTAAAGAAGCTTGCAGTCAATTAGAGTCACACTAGTCAGACAAGTGCTGGGAGAGCATATGGAAGAATTAGAGAAGGGACTGTCCGAATCAGATAGGAAAAGTTCACGTTTGATCAGCGCTGTGATGGAAAAGCGAGTTATGCATACTGGAAAGGACAGGGCAAGGGCATTTTAGGCATGGGCAGCCATGTAGGCAAATGTGCAGAGGGAAACAGTTACTCTGTCTGTGAGGCTCTGGGCACTGCTGGAATGAAGCTGGGGGAGTTGGTGAGATAGAGGCAAACCGGAGGGATGGCAGGGGCCAGGTCACGCCCAGTCTTAGGTGTTAAGTCTGGGCAGTTTGACCTTGACTGTGGGAGGCACAGGGAGTCAACAAAGCTTCAGGCAGAGGGAGGTGGGCAGAACTGTTTCAGAAAGCTCATGCTGGTTGTGCGAGGAGACAATGGCTTGGGAGAGGTGAAGAGGTGGAGGAGAAGGCAGCAGGGGGGAGGGAAGGGGATGAAATAAAGCCACAAACTCCACTTTGTCTCTCGCTAAGCCCAGGCCCCTGAAACAGCACCTGCCCACAAGTTCAGACCTCCCAAAAGACATACTGATGGAGCAAGTATTTCTGGGCATGGTTGACTGACGAGAACTCAGCCCAAGATAAGAGAAAACAGAGTGTTCCTAGACTGGGAGTCTCGAATGAGGGAGTCATTGGGTGGTGAGGGCATGCAGGAGTGTATTTATGACAACTTTGTAATAAGCAACAGTGGATAAGGAAGAAAATGACCCACATGTCTAAGCCCAGGGGAGGGGTGCAGATGGATTTTTAGAGCATCTACCCCGTGCAGCTGTTGGATGCGGTGGGCGGCTGTTTATATCAAGGATGCTCTCGATATTTTAAGTGACAAAGACAAAAGAGAGACTGGCATGTGTCATAGCAGGGGCATGTGAGTCTGGATTTGGGAGAGCGGTGAGTGGCTAGGGGTGGGGACAAGAGTTATCGCAGAGCAAGTGGCAGCTGGAGCCAGAGGCAAGGATGACATCACCGGATGATGGCCGAACCCAGGGACCACAGCCATGTTTACAGACAGGTGCACTGAGTGGAGTGGGGAGGGAGAGAAGTGGACCACCCAGTAGAGCCGGCTCAGTCTCCCAGCCTCAGGTGGAGGGGGCAGGAGGGGGCGGGGGTCATCTCCTGTCATCTAACCCGTCGGAAGTGCTCCGATTCTAGTCTGAGATTTTCCAATGTGGCAGATCCCAAAGAGCATCAGTGTCTTGCCTTTTCCTGGTGGCTGGCAAACATTTGTCAGGTCCAGTGTCCTCACAGTGCCCTCTCTCCCCTGGTCTGTCACTCGTTAATTTTTTTCCCACTAAAATTAGGATCATTTTCTCTTTAGGGAACCCAAGTGTCCTGCTCTCCCCACTGGGGAAAGTCTGGGGTGAAAATAGTTCAGGGAGGGAGGGGCCCCAGTGCCCTACAAGGCTTGGGCCTGGGCAACAGTTGCCCACATGCCCTGTTTGAGCTTTCTCAACGAGCTGCCTCAGCATTAAGTGCCCATCTGTCCAGAGAATCAGGTTACTACGTAAGGGGACCCGGGGCTCCCCTCCTCCCTGACCTGTGGCCTTTTCAGCAGACTCAGGGTTCCCCCCCCAGGCAGGGAGGGATATCTCCAGAGTGAGTGGAACTGGGCAAGATTTTAACTTGGGGGGGGGAGGGGAGAGTTCCTCTTATCTGATGGTATATTATTTTGGGACCCATTTCTGCCCCTTCCTGGGCCTCAGTTTCCTCAATTGCCAAATGAGACAGAAAGATTGTGAATTCCACCCTGGAACTGGGTAGAGTCTAGAAGCCCCCGCCCTCCCTTCAAACCCCAAGTTCGCTAGTTGTGAACCTATCAAGCTCCTTTCCAGAGTGGGTCTGAAAATGCTTAACAAGAGTAGGGTGGGCTTGGGGACACAGGTCATTCTTCCTGAGTCCCCCTGCCACTCCCCCCTTCCTCCCCCCCCCCCCGCTCTCGTACCCCAACTCGGATCTCCTGGGCTTTGTCCATCGAACCCGCTGGGCCCTGGGCCCAGGGAAGCAACAGGATTTTAGGGAAACCGAGAATTTTCCTTGATACCTTCAATTCTCGTCCAGCCCTAAAGGACGGCAGCAGGCCGGGCGGTCTTGAGCTGGGAAGTGGCAGCTGGGGAAGTCGGACTGACCCGGCTCCAGCTTCCCCAGGACAAACCGCCGACCCTCCCCGGCCTCAGTTTTTCCACGAGGAAATGGGCGAGCACTCACTTTCCGCTGCTGCTTCTCCCAGGCCGGGTCCAGCAGCAGGTCTCGGTCCCAGTCTTCCTCCTGCTCCATGTACTCGCCGCCCCCGGTGCCCGCGAAGGGCCCCTCCCCGGCCCCCAGGCCCTCGGGCTGCATGACCATCATCATCTTGCTCGGGCTGCGGACTCCGCTCGGCTGGGCGCGCTCCCCAGCACCCGGGCCCCGTTAAGTAGGGCCGGGCCCAGCCCCGAGATCGGATTCGCTCTAAATATGGGGGAGGTGGGTGGGGCCACATGGAGGCGCGGGCGCCCGGGTAGGGACCTGATAAGAGGGTGCCCAGAAGCCCAGGACCTCAGAACTGGGGGGACGCTGGGATAGATCGAGGCCCGGGTTCGGCGGCTCGCCGAGGGGGCTGTGTGACTTTGGGAAGGCCACGAGCCCTCTCTGTCTCCTCTATAGAATGTCCCTAAGGACACTAACATGGGCGACGGGCCGCCCTCCGGTCCGGCCCGGCTCGCGCCCCGCGGGGTGGGAAGCAGAGCCCTGTGCCCATTTCACAGTCAGAACCGCCGAGGCGCCGAGCTGCTCTGAGGTTTTCTGGAGTGATGGAGACACCTGAGCGCAGTGAGGGACTCCAAGCCAGCTGGATAGGCCTAGGCGGGGGTATTAATATCGGGGCGAACGGGGGAGGGCGTGTGTGTGGCGGGGAGAATGTGCTGAGCCGGGAACCCCGACGCCACCGAAGCTGCAACCCAATCTCCGCCGCGCGGCACCAGGCCCGCGGCGCCGGCGGGCGGGGCTTTCCGTGGGAGGGCGGGGCCTCCCGGGGCCGGGAGGGCGAAGACTGAGCGGTGTCACCCGGACGGTAGCACCAACCGGATTTCCAGCCTCTGCTGGCTCGCGCGGCCGACCAATCAGCTCTGCGCATCTGTGACCGCTCATTTAGAGCCTAGCGCGCTCCGCTCCCCTTTCGAGTTTCCATTGGCTATCGCAGACGTCCGTCGGCCTTTATTCCCGCCCCAATGCGGAAGCGGCGAGGTCCTTGCGATCCGACTGTGGATGGGTCCGGACTATGGGGCAGCCCTGGGCGGCGGGGCGAGCCGAGGGGGCTCCCGCGCGGCTGCCGCTCGTGCTCACCGGATTATGGGCCGCCGCCGTGGGCCTGGAGCTGGCCTACGTGCTGGTGCTAGGTCCCGGGCCGCCCCCGCTAGGACCCCTGGCCCGGGCCTTGCAGCTCGCGTTGGCTGCTTTCCAGCTGCTTAACCTTGCGGGCAACTTGGGGCTCTTCCTGCGCTCGGACCCCAGCATCCGGGGCGTGATGCTGGCCGGCCGCGGCCTGGGCCAGGGCTGGGCGTGAGTGGGGCGCGCCTGGGGCGGGGGCGGGGCGCTGGAGCTGAGGTGTTCGAATGGATGACGTTAGCATCCGGGTCCTTTAGAACCTGGCATGGAAGGTGCCAAAGGACTGTTCCTCGCTTAAATACTGATCAGATGGGGGCTTCCATGGGGGGGGTAGATTCCAACTTCCTGGAGTTGATTTCAGTGAGGGGCAGGGACAGACGACCAACTACCACCACATTAAGTAAGCAAGTGATATAAAGTAGACAGGATGGGGGTGCGGAAACAAAAATTAGAATAGGCTGAAAGGGGGATGCGAGTTTCAATTTAAAATAAGATGGCCAATTCTCGCCACTAGAAATATTTGAGGTGAAAGATTTAATAAGCTTGATTTAATTATTCCACTTTCTGTTCAGAAGATCTAACCACACTCTGTACTCAGCAAATATATGCAAGCATAATTGGCCAATTTACGATTAAGAACTTAAATATAAGAAGCCAGGCACCGGTGGCTGTCATCCTGTCATCCTATCTACTCAAGGAGGCTGAGCAATAAGGATTGCAGTTGGAAGCCATCCCAGGCAGGAAAGTCTATGAGACTCTGATCTCCAATTAACCAGCCAAAAGCTGGAAGTGGAGCTGTGGCTCAGTGGTAGAGTGCTAGCCTTGAGCTAAAAAGCTCAGGGACCGTGCCCAGGACCCGAGTTTAATCCCAGGGCTGGTGAAATAGAGGGCAGATTGTTCGAGGCAGAAGGAACAAACCATGTAAAGGCTTTGAGCCAACTGAGTTCCCACCATCTCTGTCAAGGCCAGGGAAACTGGCACAGGGTAGAGGGTGGGGAGAGGGGAAGATTAAGGATGCAGGCCTGTAGGGAGTCACTGGAGATTTTTGAGCAAAGACAAGACGTGACTTAAGCTTTAAAAGAATCCTCGTGGCCAGGTGCCGGTGGCTCATGCCTGTAATCCTAGCTACTCACGAGGTTGAGATCTGAGGATCACGGTTCAAAGCTAGCCCTGGCTAGTCCGTGAGCCTCTTATCTCCAGTTAACTACCACAAAACCAGAAGTGGTACTGTGGCTTAAGTGATAGGGCCCTAGACTTGAGCTGAAGAGCTCAGGGCCAGCACCCAGACCCAGAGAGTTCAAGCCCCACGACTGACACACACACACACACACAAAGAAAGGTATCCTTGTGGCTGCAAGGATGAAACCAGTGAAGGAGTTGCTGCAGTAATGCTGAGGGCAGTTCACGGTGACTTGGATCAAAGTTTTGCCACTGGGTGCTAAGAGGTCAGAAAAAGACCTTACTAAGACTGGCAGGTGAAAGCCACCTCAGACCTTGGGAAATCTTTAGGATTGATGAAGGCAGGTGGTTATTTTTGCTTCCTCAGGAGAGGCTCTGGGACTGACCCTGGGCATAATCTGGGGCATTCAGAGCTGCTTGGGGTACTGACCTGTGGTGGTCTTTTCTTGCAGTTACTGCTACCAGTGCCAAAGCCAGGTGCCACCGCGCAGTGGGCATTGCTCTGCCTGTCGGGTCTGCATCCTGCGTCGGGACCATCACTGCCGTCTGCTGGGCCGCTGTGTGGGCTTCCGGAACTACCGGCCCTTCCTGTGCCTGCTGCTCCATGCTGGGGGTGTCCTGCTCCACGTCTCGGTGCTTCTGGGTCCTGCCCTGTCAGCCCTGCTGCGGGCTCACTCAGCCCTCCACACTGCTGCCCTCCTGCTGCTGCCCTGGCTCATGTTGCTCACAGGTGTGGAGGCAGGGAGGCAGGGAGGCAGAGGCCCTTAGAGGAGTCAAGTCCTTTGTAGTGGGAGGTGGGATTTCCTGCTGGTCCTGGCAGTGCCCTGGAGACCAAGTCCCAGTGTCATTTATGGAGGAAGAGGGTAGCTTGGAACTCAGCTGAGCATATGGTACTATACCTTACACAAGACGGGGGCTAAATTCCGGCTTTGAGAATCAGGGTAAGATTCTAGATTTCTTGCAGGGGAAGAAAGATCAGAGGAGCCCATGAGGTAAAAGCAAAGGCTGGTATGACTCTGATATGGGTAATGAGGAGCCAGTGAAAGTTCTAGGCAGAAGAAGGCCGAGCCACTGGGCTTGGAAGGAGACCTAAAGCAAAAGGCTGATTGCAATGCCATGTCTAGATGCTGCTGATATTCCTTTTACCTCTGACATCACCCAGGATAAAAAATCAAAGTCCTGTGGCTTTTGTAGTGTACTGGGTTGTGAACTCAGGGCCTCAAACTTGCTAGGCAGTCACTCTCCCTCCGCATCCCAGCTTCCTCCACGTGCTTCTTTGGAGCTTTTCCCTGGCTTCAATAGATCTTTTCACCCCTCCATCTCCTCTAGTCTTCCTTCCAAGAGAGTTGTGCAGGCTCCAGATGCTTTCCCTTACTTCCTGCTCACTCCTGTATCTCTTTCCACCTGCCTGCTGCCTCTTCCTCTCCTGTCAGAAGCCAGGATCTATTTCTTCTAAATCCACAGGACCTCTCCTGTTCTCTCCTTGTGATTGTACTAAGATTTGAACTCAGGACCTAGCACTTGCGAGATAGACTCTGTTCCACAGAAACCATTATCACTGTCTTAATTCCAGAACATTTTTACCCCTAAGAAGAAACCTTGAATGTAGCAAACAGCCCCTCCCTATTCCTCTCTAATCTTCCCAGAGCTGGCAGCTACTAATCTGCTTTTCTAGCTAAGCATTTGCATATTTGGGACTTCTCATAGAAAGGGACTCTTAAAGCATGTGACCTTTCGTGTCTGGCCCCTCACTTAGCAAAGCCCCACGCTACAGTTGATTGATTGACTGATTGATTGTGTATGTGTATGCCTGTAATGGGGCTTGAACACATGTCCTTGAGCTCTTACTTGGCTTTTTCATTCAAGGCTAGTGCTCTACCATTTGAGCCATAGTTCCACTTCTGGCTTTTTGATGGTTAATTGAAGATAAAAGTCTCACAGACTTTTCTTCCAGGGCTAGCTTCAAACCAGGATCCTCAGATCTCAGCTTTCGGAGTAGCTAGAAGTACAGGCATGAGCCACCAGCGCTTGCCTTGTAGTTATTTAACAGGTACTTGTTGCTTGGTGTAGCCAAGATGGTACAAGCTAGTCTACTTTTCCACTGTGATACAGAGTACTGATGTAATTGAGTGACTAAGAATGGTCAGTTTCATGTCTGAGAATCCCTGGAGAGTGGAGAACCTTATTTCATCCCCTTGATCACGGGGCCCAGGGCTTAGGCCTTCACCAAGTTTGTGATACACAGGTAAAAGAGGTCCCCTAGGCAGGGACTGTCTGCCAGCTCCACCAGCGTATTCCCATTGCCCAGCCTAGGCCTGGCTATTGGGTGGCAACTCAGTATTTACAGACAGCAGGAGTCGGCTCTGCTTCATGGCAGGGAGTCGAGGGAGGAGGGCAGGAGCTGAGCTCTGGGAGGGCGGGCTCCGACAGCTGCCCCCTGACCTTCTCTGCTCTCTCTCTGCAGGCAGAGTAACTCTGGCTCAGTTTGCCCTGGCCTTCGTGGTGGACACGTGCGTGGCAGGTGCACTGCTCTGTGGGGCTGGGCTGCTCTTCCACGGGATGCTGCTGCTTCGGGGTCAGACCACGTGGGAGTGGGCTCGGGGCCAGCATTCCCATGACCTGGGCTTCTGCGCTAACCTGCAAGCAGCCCTGGGGCCCCGCTGGGTCCTCATTTGGCTCTGGCCTTTCCTGGCCTCCCCATTGCCTGGGGATGGGATCACCTTCCAGACCACAGCTGACTTGAGACTTGCAGCTTCCTGACTCCAGGAGGAGCCAAAACTGCAGGAGGCAGAGGAGAGTGGAGGAGGGGGCGGATAACTCATTTCCTGCTCCACCCAGCAGCAGGAGGGAAACCAGCTGGGCCTTGAACACCTGCAGTGGACAGCTCTGATTCCTTCCTTGGCCTTGCTCCTGCCCGGCTTGGATGCTTCTGTGTCTAGGGCTCTGGCCTTGTGGCTTTGCCCTTTGGGAAGAGAAGGGTCTAGCATAGGGGCTGCTCAGCCGGCTTGGCTGCCCCTCTGCCAGGCTAATAAAGCACCTACCTGGTTCTTGGCTTGGGTTTTTGGGTTTGTTGTCCTAGATGCTGTTTTTGGTTCCTGTGGTTGTCAAAGAAACCTGAGGGGCCAGAGCCTTGCCCCCCCTCTGACCCATGTGTTACTGGATCAGCACTTGATTGCAACTGCTCTGTAGTATGAGTCTCATGGAATCATGGGACCTGTGGCAGCAGTTTGGCTGCTGCTTTTGTGAGTGACAAGAATATGGGGTAGTAAATAGAGGAGGCAGGATTTGCACCCAGATCTTTGTGCTTTGCACAAAGGTGAGCAGGAGGAAAAGAGGACCAGGCATGTCCTGAGGATAGTCAAGCACCTGTGAGAGGTGATGCTGAGCGGTCGGGGAGGCCGCATCCCTGGCTCTTTGGGAGCTGTTTATTCAATATTTTATGGAAAAACATGAACAGCTAAATGTAGCAGGCTTCAGAAAAAAAAAAAGACTAGGAAATAGCAGAAAGCCAAAGATCCTGACACTCACCATTTGTGCAACTCAGAGCAGAGAATCGGAAGTCAAGTTGATGTGTTTGCAAAGGGAGAGACCCAAAAGCATGGCAGATTGCCCCCTAGAGCCAGTATTTCCATCAACTTTGGAATGGGTGGAAAATCCATATAGTTTGCTCTGTGTGCTACCCTCCTGCAGTCACCACCTGGAGTGAGATGGGGCACAGGGTTATTTGAAGGAGAAACTGGACCATTAAGGCTCTGGGTGTCAGGGGTACTAAGGGGGCTGGGGATGAAGAAGCTGGACCAAAAATGAAGATTGCAGAAGTCTGTAATGTTGTTTGGCTGCCCCATGAAATGGCAGGCTTGTCCCCTCCAACCTCCCAGGGGAGCCCATCTTCCTGACAGGCTCTCAGAGGTCATTAGGTGTTTTCTCTTCTTTTGTTTTTGTTTTCCAATTGGTCTGCTCTATTGCTATTGCTGTATGTAAACAAAAAAGACACTAGGAACTTCATGTGCCTGGCACTGTGTACTGTATATAAACACTCCTCTTCTGCATCAACTTACTTTTTTTTTTTGTCAGTCGTGGGGCTTGAACTCTGGGCCTGAATGCTGTCCCTCAGCTCTTTAGCTCAAAGCTAGCGCTCTACCACTTGAGCTACAGCACCACTTCCAGTTTTCTGGTGGTTTATTGGAAATAAGAGTCTCACGGACTTTCCTACCCGGGCTGGCTTTGAACCGTGATCCTCAGATCTCAGCCTCCTGGGTAGCTAGGATTACAAGTGTGAGCCACAGGCGCACGGCTTCACCTTCTTAATCATGAGGGGATGCTAGAGAATATTTATAGGCCAGGCACCAGTGGCTCACATGTATAATCCTAGCTACTCAAGAGGCTGAGATCTGAGGATCAAGGTTCAAGGCCAGATGGGGCAGAAAAGTACATGAGACTCATCTTCAACTAGGCAGCAGAAAGCTGGAAATAGAGCTATGGTTCAAGCGGAAGAGGGCCAGCCTTGAGCAAGGAAGCCCAACAAGAGCACAAGGCCATGAATTCAAGCCCTAATACTGTACTTATAAAACTCCTCTACCTGTTGGAGAAAGTTAGTTTCCTTAAAGGCTGTTGTTTCCTTCACTGCCCTGTCTTCCTCTTTCTTTTGCTTCTGTTTGATGTTGGTGCTTAAGTGTCTGGATTTTATATAAACGCAATCATAGTGAGTTTATTCTACAATGAATGACTTACCTTTTCACTCAGTAATTGTGTCTGTGAGATGTCTGTCACCAAATGATTGCATGTAGTGGTGTAGTGTCTCCTTTCTCTGCTGTGTGGCGGTCATTTGTATGAATATACAACTTTTTCTGGCCTTTTTAATCCGCAATCTATCTGTGGGGACAAGATCTTTGCTCTTCCACATCAGTTTTAGGATCAGCTTGTCAAGATTCAGCAGTGAAACCCACTGATTCTCTCTACATCAGTTTGGAAATGAGCATGTCCATAAAATTGAATTTTCCAGTTCATGAACACAGTGTATCTCCTCACTGAATGTTTCCAATAAAGTGAGACTTTTCTCATAATGATGCCTTTTGGTGTATTCTTAAGTATTTAATATTTCAATGCTGTTATATCTGGTTTAGGAAAAGAGGTCATATCCAGCACATCTAAAACTCAACATGCAACTACTTGTAGATTCTTTTGAGTTTTCTGTATCTACAGTCCTGTTACCTTCAATTTGTTTTCGACTTTTTGTTTCTCCATTCTTCTTGCCCTCCTATAAGAGTCCACTATATATTGTAGGAGCCCCTTCTTTCTGACTTTAGAGGGAGTTTAATGTTTCACAATTAAACATGACCTTAGCTTCCCAAACATTAAATTTAACAGTATTAAATGAGATGTAGATTTGTTTTCTTCTTTCTGTTTTAGACAGTTTCACCATGTGGCTTTGGCTGGTCGGGGACTCATGCTCCTGCTTTAGCTTCCTGAGTGCTGGGATCACAGGTTTGTGCCAACAGGTGCTGTGTAACTGGGGTCTTTATAAGTGCTTGTGTCCACTCATTTTTTTTGGGGGGGGGTCTGGTCGTGGGGCCTGAACTCTGGGCCTGAGCACTGTCCCTTAGCTCTTCAGCTCAAGGCTAGCGCTCTACCACTTGAGCCACAGCGCCACTTCTGGCTTTTTTTTCTGCTTATGTGGTGCTGAGGAATCAAACCCAGGGCCTCATGCATGCAAGGCAAGCGCTCTACCACTGAGCCATCTTCTCAGCCCTCCACTCAGCTATTGAGTTTTACATGTGAAACAAATTTTAATCACTTTTTAAAAGTCAGATCAATCGTTCTCTTGCTCTCTACTGATTTTAGATTGATTTATTTATTTTGGTGCTTGTTCTGGGATTTGAACTTGGGGTTTAGACGCTGTCTCTGAGCCTTTGCTGCTCAAGGCTAATGCTCTATCACCTGAGCCACCACAGCTCCACTTCTGGCTTTTTAGTGGTTAATTGGGGGTAAGAGTCTCATGGACTTTCCTACCTTGGCTGGCTTGTCTAGCCATGATCCTGAGATCTCAGCTTCCTAAGTAGCTAAGATTATAGGCATGAGCCACCATATCCAGCTCCCCACCCCTCCATATATATATATATATACACACACACACATATATATGTATATATATATATATATATTCATTTTTTGCCAGTCCTGGGGCTTGAACTCAGGGCCTGAACACTATCCTGGAACTTCTTTTGCTCAAGGCTAGCACTCTACTACTTGAGCCACAGTGCCACTTCCGGCTTTTTCTGTTTATGTGATACTGGGGAATCGAACCCACGGCTTCATGCATGCTAGGCAAGCACTCTACCACTAAGCTACATTCCTAGCCCTTATTATTATTTTTTTTAATATAAAGCAATCTTAGAGGAGAATGCCTCTTTGAAAAGATACTGTAACTAAAAACTGAAGAGAAAATAGAATTCAAATCATTGGGAAAAAATTCATACTCAGAAGAGCTGGTAACAGAAGAAAAGGATATGAGAAAGAGAGAAGAAAATCAGGATCAATCTTTTCTTTTTTGGAATGGCCCTCAGTCAGATACCAGCCTTAATTGGGAAGTCCAAGGAGAACAGAGAAAGAGGATTGGGGAGAGACATCAATGGAAGCCAGCAGCAGCAGCAGCAGTAGTGTTCTGAGAACTGCAGACTGCACACCTAGCTTCACCCACAGCGAAACAAACAGTAAGTATACAGGCAAGTCACAACATTGAAAACCACTGAGAAAAAGGTGGTCAGCAGTAGAAATGACATGGAAATGGACACATAGCCACAAGTAAAATAATTCCCAACTTCAAATATTATGACTCTGACTTAAAAAGGTAGCCATGAGCCAGGCGCAGGGGCTGATTATGTAATTCCCAGCTACTCAGGAGGCAGATATCCAGAAGATAAAGGGTTAAGGCCAAGCCAGGAGGTGGGGGAGTTCATGAGACACATCTGTGATCCCAACTGCATTGGAGGTTGTAGGGAGGACTGAGATGTGAGGTTGAAACTTGGCAAAAATATGAGACCTCTCGTCTGAAAATTAAGTAAATTAAAAACTGACTAGAGACATGGCTCACGTGGTAGAATGTCTGTCTAGCAAGCTTGAGGACTTGAGTTCAAACCCCAGCACCACCAGAAAGAGAACAAAAGGAAAGGAACCTATGAATATATTTCACCAAGTAAGGAACAAACTAAGATGTGGAACCCAGGGAATAGGGGACCCTCAGAGAATATTCTTTTTTCTTTTTCTTCCAGTTGTGGGGTTTGAACTCAGGGCCTGGGTGCAGTCCCTGAGCTCTTTTGCTCAAGGAAGGCTAGTGTTATTTACCATTTTGAGCCACAGCACCACTTCCAGTTTTCTGGTGGGTAACTGGAGATAAGAATCTCATGGGGGGGCTGGGAAGGTGACTCAGTGGTAGAGCGCTTGCCTTGCATGCATGAGGCCCTGGGTTCGATTCCTCAGCACCACATAAGCAAAAAGAAAAAAGCCGGAAGTAGCGCTGTGGCTCAAGTGGTAGAGCACTAGCTTGAGCTGAAGAGCTGAGGGACAGCGCCCAGGCCCAGAGTTCAGGCCCCACGACCAGACCCCCCCCCCCAAAAAAAAAATCTCATGGGACTTTTCTGCCTGGGCTGACTTCAAACCATAATCCTCAGATCTCAGCCTCCTGGGTAGTTTGGGATTACAGGTGTGAGCCACTGATGCCTGGCAAAGAGAATATTCTTGTTAGCAAACTATCCTCAGGGAAGCAGAGGATGAATGAAGAAAAAAGAGAAACCATCAAATTGCAACTATTAGAAAACTATATAAATAAAAATTCAAGGCAATTAGTAACTGGAAAGATTTGAAGGTTCAAAAAATGTAATTTATTTATAACTCAGTTTCTGCCTTTACCGTGAATAAATTTCCATAGCAATATAAATAATAACCTTTTAGATTATATTGATTCATCTAAAAAAGAAGAGGGGTTACGCTTCAAGAGAGCTAAAGCTAAGGCCTCATCTAGTACAGGGGGCCAGCTGATGATGTTAGAACTGACAACAAGCAAGAGGAATACACACATTTAAAAACAGAGCTAAAAGAACTAGAACTGACTGGTGCAGGGATAGCCTTGACAGTGAGATTGCTTTCTTGTTATCTATGAATACCGTATTTCTCAGTATATGTGTGCTTCTAAACAAATAGCAAGACAAGTCCTCTTCTTATCCTTAATGTATACAGTTTCCTGGAGCTTTGCTGGTGCTAGTGGGCACCCTGCGCTGTTTCTTACTTCCTGTTCCTTTAGCCTCATCCTAAGATGTAGTTGGTATGTTTCTTACTAACAGGCATATAGTGTAACATTACATAAATTAATATTAGGGGCTGGCATTGATGTCCCCTTTCATCATCATGAATAGAACGCAGATCAGATGTTCTTGTTCTGAGTTCACACAGCTTAAGAGTGCAACTCATGGCCTGATGGGTGAAAAGGATTGGAAAGTCAGTGGCTGACACAGGACACTGCCCGTCCCCGCCTTGCTGGATCACACAGCTTGGGTGACAAGGGGCTCATCACCTTTCCAGGCAGGCCTTCCACCTTGGCTGAGTCCTGTGGGTTGAGGGCTCTGAGCAGCACTCCCTGTACCCCTACATCCTTGTTTCCAGGCTACATCTTCTGCTTGTTGTACCAGCTGTGCCTCAGGTGGTCTGATGTGGAAATCCTTTACCACTGACCCAGGAAGTCCCATCTGTGAAGGGTGGGTTGTGGGGGATGGCTTTTTCTTCTGTCCAGACCCCTCCTTTCTCTTAACATGGCCTGGGATGCCCTTCTTGGAGGAGTTACGGTAGTGTCCCCCTTGTTGTTGCGTTTGGGGCGTAGAGGCTGGTACTGGGTGCAGGTGGTCAGCTTGGACTGCTGTCAGTCACCCTTCTCCGGTTGGGCTGCCCAGGTTGGAGGGTGCCAGGGCTGAAGGCAGCTCACCAACAATCTGGTCAAAGTACTGTATTTTACATGAGAGGAGAATGAAGCCTAGAGGGATTTGGTTTCTTCCTGAAAGCTCAGGCTGTGTGCCATACACACAACTCATCAGGCGGGGAGCGGGAGGGGGGTTGGGGAGCGGGAGGGGGGTTGGATAGGCCTGGAAGCAGCAAGCCTGACCTGACCCTCAACAGGCTTCAGGTGGCTTCCTTTAACCTTCAGCTTCACTCCACACTTCTGGTGGGCACTTTTCCAGTATATTCTGTCCCACTCTGCTCATTGCCTAGTGAACTTTCCATCCACGGGGGTGACTTGGCTCTCAGGTGTAGAATAGCATCCTGCTGGGCACTTCTGAGTGTCTGCCTTCTGGACTACCTCCCCAAGCCCCACAAATGCCTGTTCTGGTGCCCCCAGCCCACCTGTGCCGCCTAGCGCAGCCTTCCTCTCCAGGAATGTTGTCTTTGGCCATCCAGGTCAGAAGCAGCTGCTGTCTGTCCTTTAGGAGGGTGCTCGGGATGGTTGGGATCTCTAACGCCCTCCATGGATCCCCGCTGCCCTCTAGTATCACCGCTTAAATTGGAACACTTCCTGGGCCTCAAGGGGCTTGAGGGAGTGACTGAGCTCAGGACGTGGGAAATATGTCCTGGGGAAGGTGGCATTTCTCTGGGCCACAAGGGGAAAGTGGCACCTATGGCTTGCCAAGGAAAAGTATCGATGCCTGTGCTTCGTGCTTCACCTGCAGCCCCCGAACCCCAGGGGTGACTGAGCACAGCCTTCCTCAAGAAAAGCGTGCTCCAGCCAGGCCTATGAAGGAAGCCTGTGTGCCTCAGGGAAGAAGTGGAGGAGGGCAGGGCCTCTCTTCTCACATAGACTGTTTCACAGCTTTCTGGGACCTGGTAAGGTTTCTGGAAGGAGCTGGGAAGGGTGCTGGGTGGTCCTGAGGGAGGAGGCACTGGGTGCTCACTGGCTTGCTGCTCAGGCCTCGGTGGTGCGGGGCTGCTTTGGAGAGGAGGGGAAGCTGGGACCCAGCACGTGGCCGGGCTGCGTAGGGTGTGGCCTGACTCCGCTGGGTCCACCCAGGCAGGAAGTGGCTGGCTCCATTCCACTGGGGCTCGGCCGCTGGCGGGGGCTCAGGCAGCCACCAGCCCCTCACTCACTGGCATGTTGATGTGGGCGCTCAGCAGGGGGGCACTGCGGCCTTCGCGGAGCACCAGAACCTAAGGAAGAGGCTCCATGACAGAGGGGGAGCAAATCTTGACACCATGTCCCCCTACGCCAAGGCCAAGCCACTTGTCCACTTGTCCATGTGGACCCTAACTGCTGGCCACCAGGGCAAGGCCAGAGGGCTGAGGAGAGGCTGGTAGGCCACAACTGGATGATACCCCACACAAGCCCAAGGGCGTTATCCACACGCACTCCTGACGTCCCCTAAGAAGCAGGGTGGGTGACCTACCTTGATCATGTCTGAGATGCCCTTGCTGCTGAGGCTCTCCACAAAGGTCTCCAGGGGGTAGCTGAGCCCTGGCACCAGCAAGGGCACCTAGATTTGAGGACCAAGAGAAAAGAAAATCAGGCATCACGCTTGGATGGTGTTAAGAGACTTTCCAAGGTGGCACTTGTGCCCACGGTCTCTGTTGGGTCTTGGGACCCTCTGGGGGTTGTGGGATGGTCATGGAACAGGCAGTGTGGAGAGGAGAACCAGGGCCGCATGGCATGTCTGGGGTTAAACCTAGACCCCTGCACGACGCAATGTAGAGGCCTTTAGCCTGGGCCCTGCTCTAAGGGCAGAGTTGGGGTCTCTTCCTGTAGTAGAAGCAGTTATGAAGCAGGGTGGGCTCTGGGGGTACGCCAGTCCTCAGTGGCTCCGCTGTTTTCCAGAACTTTCTGTATGGTTCCCTGGGGCCGTTCAGGTTGGGAGAAAGGTAACAGAGGCAGAAACTGGTTACACCCTTGCTGAGCCGACTCTGGTCCTGAGCTGGAGAGTCAGACATTGCCCACTTTCCTACCTCAACCCGATGGGGGCCTGGGGGTGTCCAGCTATAACTCAGCCTACCCCAGCTGCCACATCCTCTGCCTGGGTGTCAGGGTCCTATACCTTGAAGAAGGCCCGAGGCAGGGCATAGAGAGCCTCGTTATACAGGAAGCAGACCAACAGCCCCAGCAGGGGCCTGGCTGTCGAGGTGTTCTGCAGGTGAAGTGTGAGCTTAAAGGTGGGGCCCAGGCCCTGAACCTGTGGAGAGAGTGGGTAGAGAAGGCCCTCAGGACCCTGGTCCTGCCTGCCTGCTCATGGGGCCACCCTTCCAGCTTTTTTTTTTTTGTCGGTCATGGGGTTTGAACTCAGGGCCTGGGCATTGTCTCTCAGCTCTTCAGTTCAAAGTGAGCACCCTACCACTTAAGCCACAGCACCACTTCCGGTTTTCTGGCAGTTAATTGGAGATCAGTCTCACAGACTTTCCTGCCTGGGCTGGCTCTGAACCGCGATTCTCAGATCTCAACCTCCTGAGTAGCTAGGATGACAGGCGTGAGCTATTGGTACCCAGCCCCCCTCTAGCTTTTTCCATCTGCTTCTCAAAATGCACAGAACCCTGGGAAGTGCACAGGGCTCAGCAGAGACCCAGAGGGGAGGAGGGGATGGAGGCCACTTGTATCTGGGTTTGTGTGGGCTCTTCCTTTGCCCTGTGTCAGTCCATGGTTGGGGACCCCTGGAGCCGGGGTCATGGTGGCCTTCCCTGTCCCCAAGTCATCAGTCCCAACACCCTGGGTTGCTGTGGCTACCAAAGCAATCAGCTTTCTTTCCTGTGCGAGGGCCAGAATGCCCCAGGGTCACTCCTTTACCCCAAATCTGAGGGCTTGTCTGGGGCAGTATGCAACAGGGAGCTGGGCAGGGTGACCTCTGTGGCCAGCTGTAAAGGAGGTAAGCAGGTGAAAGGTGCTCTCCCAGCGGGCATGGGACTCCAGCAGGTGACAAAGAGCATGGGGCTTGGCTTGACACCGACACCGGAGGCTTAACATGTGTGGTATGGGGGTCACCTTCTCCTGCCCTCTGGCAGGGCGCACTCACCACTGCGTGGAGCTTGAGCGGCTCCCGGTCTGTCGCTGACATGGGGCTCAGGCTGGACTCAAGGGCCTGCACGTAGGCGCGGGCAGCTCGGAGCCGAAGAAGGTAGAGGTCCGTCTGGAAGGTTCGGTGCATGGCTGCGGAGGGGACATGGAGCAGAGACTGGAACGGGGCAAGGGGCTCCTGCTCAGGCTGCTGTGGGGAGGATACGCAAGGAAGATAGGCTGGCGGGATCTTCAGAGGCTGGGAACATGGGGACCGGAAGGGCCAAGGCCCTGTGGCCAGCCTTAGGCAACACTGGACCATGTTCTCCTATCTGGTTCTCTCACCATCTTGCTGCCGGGCTCCTTCTGTTCCACCCTCAAGGCTTGTGCCTCGCTGGCCTTGACCTTGGTTCCCTCCACCCTCCCTCTTATTCCTCACACCATCTGCAGCTGGCCAAAGAGCAACATTTGCCAGCTCCTGGCAGTGTGTCCACACTGGGCATTGTGTACTGTGTCCCTAGCAGTTTGTGGGTACCTGGTCTGCCTCTTGCTCTAATGATTTCTTGGTCCTCTCCACCAGTTCAGCACTACCTTGGTGTTCAGACTCAGTCGCTGCTGGCCCACAATTCACTCCTCATCTCTTACCACTGGCCAAACGCCAGTGACCCTGTCACGTCGCCTCCAGGGCCCCGCGTGTCCTACGCCCCATGCTCCTTCCTCGGCAGGCCCAGTTCCGTGGTCTTCTTTGATTTGTGGGTGAGGTGCCTCTTGCACCTAAGTGCCAGGCTTTCTGTATAACTCTTCATGGATTGACTCTGAAGCAATCAACATTATAATATTAGGTCTTCCCACCTTGAGGCTTAGGAAGTCTCTCTATAGAAACATTCAGGTGGACTTCAATGTTCTTGAAGGTAGTTTCATAATTTTAGTTTTTGAACTCAGGACCCTAAGCTTGCCTGCTTGGCTAGTGCTATGCGATTTGAGCAACACCTGAAGCCTGGATTTCTGCTGGTTATTTTAGAGACACTGCCACAGAATTTTTTTTTTTTTTTTTTTGCCAGTCCTGGTGCTTGAACTCAAGGCCTGGGCACTGTCCCTGAGCTTCTTTTGTTCAAGGCTAGCACTCTGCCATTTGAGCCACAGTGCCGATTCTGGCCTTTTCTGTGTATGTAGTGCTGAGGAATCGAACCCAGGTCTTCATGCACGTTAGGCAAGCACTCTACCACTGAGCCACATTCTGAGTCCTATCATAGAAGATCCTCCCGATCTTAGCTTCTCAGGTAGTTAGATTACAGGCATGAGCTGCTTGCAACCTAGCCTAAGTTTCTTTTGTCTTCTTTTCTTTTTCTTTTTTCTTTCTTTTTTTTTTTTTTGGGTCCGGTCATGGGGCCTGAACTCTGGGCCTGGGCGCTGTCCTTCAGCTCTTCAGCTCAAGGCTAGCACTCTACCACTTGAGCCACAGTGCCACTTCCGGCTTTTTTCTTTTTGCTTATGTGGTGCTGAGGAATTGAACCCAGGGCCTCATGCATGCAAGGCAAGCGCTCTACCACTGAGCCACCTTCCCAGCCCCTAGCAGCTATTTTATGGAATCCTGTGGCAAGTGCTGTGGATATATTGGCGTGAACTGGACACCTGCCAGACCAGGATTCGGCCCTGGACAGTGGGAATTAACCTGTTACTAATGATCTGTGATAGTGGGCCAGCCCTGTGCAGGTCTAGCTTTCTACATGTGGGTCTGCCTATGTTTCAGCATCACATCCTCCTCCTCTTTTCCCAGCCTGCCCCCTTCACACCAACTCCAATGCCAGCTCTGAGTCCCCCACCTTTCGTGGTCATGATGAGGGTGTTGTCCTCCCGCCCATAGCGGCCGAAGCAAAGGCTAGTCACAGCATCCTATGTGGAGATACTGGAGTTTAGTTAGGGGAACATCTTGGAGAGGAAAGAAGATGGGAGGGTGGGGGAGGGAAGAAGAATGTAAGATCTCATGAGAAGAAGCCCGGGGGCACACTTGGAAATATTTCCTCTATTTGCCATCTCCCCTTCAACCTCACTGCCACTGCCAAAGTTCTAGAATAAACCTCACTGGTCCACTCTTTTTGGGGTAGTCTCCTAATTGGTCCCCAGTTGTCTCTGCTGCCTTTCAAAACTCCAAGCCTCCAGCTGGGGGCATAGTTGAAGTGATAAGGTACCTGCCTAGCAAACACAAGGTCCTGAGTGCAAACACCAGAACCTCCAAAAGGAAAAGAAGAAAACAGCCCCTTCCCCCGAAAAAACCTCTAATGGCTTTTGTCCTCCTGTTTGTCATATCACATCAGCCTTTCAGAAATTATCCACATTCTTTTTACCTATCCCCATCTCCTGCCCTCCCAAGTCCCAAACCAGTTGCTCTTTGATTTTATATTGAGGCCCAAGACAATGTATACACACAAACATACAAACCACGCTTACATCTGATACACTCTGAAATTTCTTAAGTTTTGGTTTGGTGTGGTTTTGTCACTTGTGGAGCCTGGATGCTGTCCCTGAGCTCTTTTGCTCAAGGCTGGTGCTCTACCATTATGAGCCACAGCTCTACTTCTGGTTTTCAGGTGGTTAATTGGAGATCAGAGTCTCATGGACTTTCCCTCCCCCAAGCTGGCTTCACACCTCAATCCTCACATCTCAGTCTCCTGAGTTGCTGGGATTACAGGCATGAGCCACTGGTGTCTGGTTTTCTTAATTTTTATTTTTTTAATATTTTTTAAGATGAATTTATTTTGCTTTTCTTCTTTTATTATTATTATTTTTTAATGTCAATCCTGGAGCATGAACATGGGGCCTATCCCTTTGCTTTTTTTTTTTTTGCCAGTCATGAGGCCTGAACTCTGGGTCCGGGCACTGTCCCTCAGCTCTTCAAATCAAGGCTAGTGCTCTACCACTGGAGCCACAGCGCCACTTCCGGCTTTTTCTGTTTATGTGGTGCTGAGGAATCGAACCCAGGGCCTCATGCTTGCAAGGCATGCACTCTACCGCTGAGCTACCTTCCCAGCCCCTTCTTAATTTTTAAATTGTTGATGATTACCCAATTTGTGTGGGGGCTGGGGTGGGTGGGGGTGGGTTCTAGGGCTTGAACTCAGCACTTGGGCACTGTCCCTGAGCTGCTTTTGCTCAAGACTAGCACTCTATCACTTGAGCCACAACTCGATTTTTGGCTTTTTCTGTGATTAATTGGAGATGAGTCTCAAGGACTTTCCTGCACAGGCTAGCTTCAAATTGTGATCTCAGATCTCAACGTCCTGAGTAGCTAGGATTACAGACATGAGCCTCCACTGCCTGGCTTGACACTCTTATCACCAATTAGCCACCAAATGGCCAGAAGTGGCACTGTGGCTCAAGTGGTATAGGACTAGCCTTGAGCAAAAAAGCTCAGGGACAGCACCCAGGCACTGAGTTCAAGCCTCAGTACCAGCACACACAAAGGAAAAAAAAAAATATTCAAGCTTGTCAGTCTTTGTTGGCTGGAATGTTCTGCCCTCTGTCTAGCTGGTAATGTGATTTGCCAGGTGGATAAATGGTTACTCACTCTGTGGTGCCCCATGAATTTCATCCCCAGTCCTCCTCCCCATCTCTTGGCTCTCTCTGTGCTTTCCTAGTGCCTCTATTAGTTCCTAGTTAGTCGCCTTCGATTGTATGCGCCCTAAAAAACGAGGGCTTCTGCCTCCCCAATAGAGTGATTTGTACATACAAGGGGCTTACCACGTGCATTGCCCTCTCTCCCTGTGCACTGCAGATTACCAGGGCCTCTGCCTTTCTAAGCAAATACTCTGCCACCTGACTCATGACCCTCAGTCCAACAGACATTTGGGTTTGTTTTGCAATGGGGATCAAACCCAGGGTCTGTGTATGCCAGGCAAGCACTCTACCATGGAGCCTCACTCTAGCTCTCAACAAATGTTTCCCAGATGCCCGGATGTGAGGTCAGGTGAGAAAGCATGGATGGGGCTGAGGTGAGGAGGAGCCAGAGGCAGATCTCAGAAGAGGGGCTCACCGGGGTGCGGATGACGTTGAGCAAGGCCTTGTCACGGTAGATGTGGACCTCGCCATTGGCCAGCCCCGCCATGACAGCCTGCAGGCCCCGCGAGCGCTGCTCCAGGAGGTTCATGGTCAAGATGGTGGCGGGCAGCTGCACTGTCCACAGCTTCTTACCCTGGCGGGGAAAGAGCCGGTGTTGCAGGAGGCTCAGGGCTTCAAGGGGAAAGAAGGGGCATGGGAATTGCAGGGCAGGGGAAGCCAGAAGGATCTCCCAGCAGCACCTGGGGCAGATGGGGGGTTTGAGGGGGATCGACGACAAGGGCTCGCTGGGCCACACCTTGTGGGTGAAGCCGTGCAGGCTGTCTTGGGTGCTGCCCACCACCAGGACCTTGTGTACCCGGACAAGCCCCACCGGCTGGGCACTCAGTTCGATGACATACTTGGGGCGTTTGGAGTCTCTGTGGGATAAAAACAGCAGCTTGGCACCAGAGAATCCTTTTTTACCTCTGCCACTGAGTGCATGTGTGAGCGCGGGTAACATCAAGTGTGTTTTCTAACCCTGTCCCCTCCCACCTTCACTGTGGTCACCTGTGTACGAGCCTGGTAT